ACACAGCTTTCATTGTTTAGGAACCGATGATCTGGCTTTTATTCCTTAGAACATGTACTTAATACAGTAGTACCTTATTGGTAAACTTAATTACAATTGTAATATAAGTTAGTTGTAATTGTAATTTTTACTGTGAATAAGAATTGTTAGTAGCGATTCTGTTGAAATATGGAGTATAAACAAATTTTCCGCAGCTTCAATATTTTAATTTTTCATATTGAATTTGTATTAAGTGGCAAACTGAAAAATATAGTTTTAGGATTTATTGTGCCCTATCAGTGAAATTATTTGGTATGATAATAAACAATAATAATTATTAAATTATCGAATCATTAAACGGATTAGTATTTGGTTTTGTGGAGCTTACCATTACATGGTCAACTTTACAAAAACTGTGATTTTACTATGCTAAACCCGTAGACACTATTTATTTTTGACGTTTGACTACATCGTAGCTCTTAAAAAATAATTCCGTTGAGGTTTTCTGCTATCCAGTTCTCACGGATTGTGAAAACCTCATCCGGACGATAAGTTTATCATTTAGTTTCATTTCTGGTAGGAAACCAAAATCCTGTGCGTAAAGAAGCAACTTAGAAGTTGGTAAAGTTGGGACTAGAAAATAGATGCATTATTGTAAAATATACAACATCAATGCAGGAATTAGAAAATGCAAATTTTAAAAGAGTTAGTGACCTTAATACATTTTTCGTTCATTTCTTTACGCATAAGTTTCATACACTCTTATATTATTATACTAAACTGAATAATGTGATTTCCATGCGAAGTTTGTTTGATTTGAATTTGTTAGCGAATTTCCCATATAGGGAATAAGCTATAACCGTAGAAATCATGGCAAGACCTGGACCCGGGCTCGTTTTACTTTTTCTTTTTGAGGTCCCTGGAGGCCAAAAACACCATCCGTTCAAATTCATACATAATATATACAGTCTGCAGGTTTGCTACGGCGGGGATATTATTTGTATTTAATGTAGTAATGTATGGAACGTTTATACTTTTATTAAACTGTAATTTACTCTTTTTGCAAAACTCGCCTGATGATACAGTGTTGTATTATAGAACATTACAAATACAGTTCCGTCAACAGGGCCAACATGACTCAATATGCATTGAATAATTATTTATTAGCATGTTACTTATTTATTATGTTCAAACAGATTGTGCATAACTACTCTTACAGATTTTTAAAAATATTTTATGAAATGGTCTGTGATTTGATGGAGAATGAGGGTGCACAATAAGCTGTTCCAGCTGCAATCCCATGGTCACTTGTAAGCCTATATAGCCCTATGTAAAAAATAGGCTCTCTAATAATTTGCTAATTTGCTAGAAATAATTAATTACTAACCTTATCATAAAACACAAATTCTCGTTCGAAAACAAAAGCATATTAGAAAAAAATAAACTAAATCTATTCTGGGCTAATGATGTTTTGCTCACCTAATAAGTGGAACCCCCGAGGATAATTACTTAAAACAATTATTAGCAGCAACTAATTGTGCCTTTTGGTTGTTGTGTTTGGACTGCTCTAATTGTGAAGTGTTATTGGACTAAAGTCGACGTAATGGTTCAGAGAAAGATTATGAATGTTATGTTTTGAGGAGTTAATTAGAATTAGACGTTTGCCCCTTAAAATTCCCCGTCCCAATAGTTTAATCATGGTTTTTGAACTCAAATATACTTTAAGTGATTTGCATATTTCTACAAAATTTCTTCAAAATCGGATGATTTATTCATGCTGTTGTGATGGGACATCAAAACGAAATAGTAAATCCGCCCCTAAACCACTTTCTATCGACACTTTCCTTGCGAAACTCTTCACAATTAACCTCATGATAATTGGGTTTGAGTTGACATCGCAGAGTTATTTTGTACTGATTATTTTAATTGCGTATAAAAGCACCTTGGTAATGAGACCCTTTCGTACGGAGTGTAGATAGCGCTTAAATTAAACAGATTCTCACAGTCAACTGGTACAGCATGTTTTTTCAAACCTTGCAAATCTAATTGCATCGGATTTCTTGCTAACGATTTTGGAAGATGTATTTTTGGAGTACTGTAACTAGCAAAGTTATAATATGCACAGAATTAATACAACTATTACTGAATTTCCCATATAGCGAATGCGATATGACCGTAGGCTTATGGTATCTAGACCCGGGATCGATTTACTTTTCGTTTTAGAGTCCCCAGAGGCCAAAAACCAATTGTATTGTAAGTCTGCTGCGGTGGGGGTATGTATATGTTTTGGCAATATAACAATACTGTACTGTTGGTGTAACCAGTAGATCTTCTGGTCACCCTATGGCAAAAGGTATATTGAAAACAAGGCAAAAATAAAACAGTGTATGAGTTAAAGGCTGACCAAAGAGGCGTAGTTTATGAGCTTGGTGTTTGATATGATTGTAAAACCCATTTCATCACCATTGACATACATACTTCAAAGACGTCTTATTAAATTGTAAAATTCAAAGTCTGTTTCAACAGCGTTTCGTCCGTTTGAGTTTGTGTATCTTTTGAGTGCGCAGATGTCGAATTAAAGTCTTGTCTGTCGTTTAGTGTAAATTTTGAAATTTAATATTCGATGGAAATACTAGAGGACGAACGAAAGTCTACAAAGAAATCGTTCTATTTGATCGTAATAGTTTTGAGATCGGTGAAATAACAAGAAATTTAAAATGAAGCATCATAGAACACCCCATATGAGCATACGGGGCTGATACCCCTAGTATAATACTCTTCACCTGAATATAAGGGGTCGCCGGATGACTGCCCCCCGGAAAACTACCCCCCCCCCCAAGCAGGTTCCTACGTCATAATGACGTCAGAGACCGGGGGGGGCAGTTTTCCAGTCACGGACACTCAAATTTTAGTTGTCAAACAGTTCTAAAATCTGTTTCATATTCACCACATGCCTTTTCTATTATCCAACGGAATTACTCGAATTAAAATTAAAATTACATAGCATGATTTGTCTAGGGGGGGTAGTATTCCAGTCGCGGACACGGCTTCCATATTGGTTAGTTAGCAGATTTTGTGACGTCACGTTTCACCTGGGGGGGGGTAGTTTTCCAGGGGATAGTATTCCGCATCCCCAATATAAGGAAGAAATGTCTATTCAGTGTTTCATCTACTACAGGTCACATCTCAACAGTAAACTACCGTTATCAAACAGCAGCGATCAGTCGCGTTTCTAAAAGTAAACATTGTACGACGTTTCGCAGCAGTTTCACCCTTCTCCTTCAGGTGACATCGTGGTTGAGCCTCACGAACAGCAAATGTCACAGGTAATTGGTCGTTGTACCGTTGTGGCTTAATTGGGAGAGACACTATCTTGCGTTGCACAACTTGGGAAAATGAGGGGCACAGACCGCTTGGGAGTTGTAACGGTGGATAGGGGGTTTTTGTTTTTGTACAGAAATACTTTAGAGTTTAAAGTAGTTGTAGTAGTAGTACACATTTTTTTAAGTAGTTGGTATGGTTTTTGTAATCCGATTTTTAGAACGTTCCTTTAGAGGGGGAGTAGGATGATAGGATTAAATATTTTAACATGGTCTTAAGGCGAAAGCCTGTGGAAATTCTGACTGACTAATGTAATGACAGTCGAAATTCAATACAAAGAATGTATATAAAATTTTTAGCTCTACTATTGACGTTTGGACACTGAAGTATATACATCACACGTATACGGACCAGCTGTAGTCAGTTTTTTAAATACCCCCACCGCAGCAAACCTGCAGACTAAGTGAAATTTCATTCACCACAGATAAGAAACATACAGTACCTGGTTGGGTGTTCAGTTCACTTGTATTTAACCATTAACACATCAACACGCACGCTGGTGAATAAAGAGATAGTACAGTACTGTATTTTAAAACATCAAGTAAGATAATTTGTGTTTTAAAACTGGTTACAAATTTAATATGGGCATTTTGTAGTTCATGGTAACGAGTCTGTTATTGTATATCACATTATATTGTTCACACACAAAAAAAAAACACAAAAAAGTTAATCTAAGAAAGGTTTTGATAAAAACTTCAGTGGAATTTATTACGCTTTTTAGTTTGTTTTTTTTTCACTTGTCAATATAACAAACAGATTATTAAATTAAATTTTCTCTTAGCCAATGAACATTCTATGGCCTGCACTTTATTAAGAAAAATTGAACTAACTGCATATAAATGTACAAGTTTTTGTTATTTAGCTTTTTCGGTTGGTATAACATAAATGTATAAAGGATAACCCTTGGACACAATAGTTTTAAACATATTATATTCCACATCGAGAGCTATCTAATTGTATTATGAATCTTGTGATTTTTCTTATCATCTCACTCTATTGCTAACAAGGTTTATTCATCGACTGAATAAAGTTGACTGTACAACGTTAAACTCCTCACAGATTTGTATACGTTTTCACTGATTTCTGTAAACAAGAAATTAGTAAAACTTGATTTAATAAATTTTACCCAATAATTAAATGGCAAAAGCCGAAGCTCATATAATCATAATCATATTGCAAAAACTAATATTTCTGCCAAACTATTTTCGCAAATTCCAATAATGAAACCTCCCGCTAATGAATCGTGGCTAATCCAACCTTTAAAAACCGCCTTTCCAAAAAATCGATTACATCCTTCGATTTTTCAAAAGCGCGCTCTCATCGCAGCCCCGGACGTTGATGGATACAGTTATTTCGGTCGTTCTGGGCAGAACACAATCAAGAAGTCCCCCTCAAAAATCGAGATCGCCGAAAGGGCTCTTAACGCACAATAAATCCAGATCGAATTTTGATAAAGGCCAGACGCCCACCTGTGTCTAACCGGGCGGTATTGTAGTAGAAGAAGGGGACAGAGAGGGAGAGAGTGTGTGTGAGAGAGAGAAAGGTAGATAGGGAGAGGGATAGAGTGAGAGAGTGAGATACCCTCCCCTACTACTCCCACCACTCAACTCACTTGTTGATCAACTCAACAGTATCAGAGAGTTCTCCGTTAGTGCAACATCGCTGCTCCAGTGATAACCTTATCACCGAATACGGAAAAGGAGGCAGTCCTGACTTTGCCAATTTTCGACCGATTTCGCTTCTGCGGTATTTTCCAAAAGTGTCGCGATGTGTGACGAGTGACCGTGGCAGTGTTACAGTGCGAGCAGTTATATACTATAATGCGATGTGGTTCAAGAGACCAAGGGGCAGGCTAAGAGCTAAGGATCCCCCTGTTTATCTGTTTTTGACAATTTTCCTGTGGACTTTTACCTTTTTTGGAGCATCGCTTGCCACCGTGATGGGAGAGGAGTGCGATTGGAGTGGCAGGTTTGTTTTGATTTCGTTAACCTAACTAGTTTTAAGTTCTATTTTTCTTCTCCTTTCATACTTTATTACTTTATACGGTAACATACCAAGCATAACACTTAGACCACAGACAATATAATACTTATTGTCTGTGCTTAGACTATACTTAATATTCCAATTAAAACGCCTCTATATCAAATTCCTGGTTTATAATACTACAGAAGAAAGATGTATTTCTATTCTGTGCCCTCCGGTACACTATCTCTGTCTCAAAAACCAAAAAGGTTGAATTTAGACTAATATTTTCTGGCGCGCTTTTCAAGCCATGAAGGCGGAAGGGAGTTTTCAGGTAAGGATTTTTTCCCGCCCCGAGAAGGATGGATTTATAAGAGTAGTGGCCTAGTTAAAGGACCAAAAACTGCTTCAATGGATTGTCAAACTTAACGTTGCGATAAAAAAAAATACACTATTATGCTTTCCAAGTCTCATGTTAATATGGTTATACTTTAGGAGAAATTGTAAACAAAACTTAGGCTTCCAGCTATTACCGTTAGGATTCCAGTTACTGCATACTGTTCATTCTGTTTCATTTTTTTTATCTTTCAGTACTCAATCCATAAAGATTACTTGCGACGGACACGAATAATGGCACATTGGTGCCTGGATGTCCGAGTGGTTATAACGTTCGCTTTCAAATCTGATGTTTGCTGAATCGATTCATGATTCAGATGCCAATTTTCATAGGACCATATTGATAACATCAATAGTTCCTACTGCGTTTAATTGGTTATTAAATCTATCAAAAGGAAGGCGTTAGACAATAAGTCCGTTCGAACCGTTCCCTTAGAACGTAGAACCCCCTATTCGGATAACGGATAACACAATTAGACCTACAGTTTGCCAAGGAAAAGTATACATCTCAAAAATGCTTTGAAGGATCCACTTATCACAAACATCATAAATACATCATACAATCTTAAATGTCCACGAGTCTTTGAAACTTTCCGGAAGACTAACACCTGACGAAGGCCGATGGGAACACAAGAGACAGGTTTATGGTTTTATGGCTATATTGCCACTGATGTTACCTGAAGAAGGCAAGAGAAAGGGGATCGAAAGGTTGGTTTATTGAGGCCGTAAAGGCTGGTGTAGAATGAAGCGAAAGTTTGACGAGGGGGTGTTAACGGTGCAAAACCCATGGATATCGTCAGCTGTTCCGTTTTGATGTAGAGGGTGTGTTGTTAAAAAATCTGTAAACTGGAAAGGAATCAACCAGGATATACAGCTTTACTTAATTTCCTTTTGGCAAAAGTTGAATTGGTTAATATTTTAGTAAACATCTAACTTAATTTTGATTCATAAGTCGTTATACGTTTACTTTGCGGATTTTTCTACCGCTGTGAGAAGTAGAATACAATTTAATGTAATTGAGCTACGAGTCTAATACTTTAGTTGTCATTATAAACAAAAATTATGGAAGACGCAAAAACACTAGGCTGTATTTTCAGAGGAATCACTACAAAAAGGGAGAAAAGAACCACTATAATAAATTGACATTTTGACACAAGGCTATATATGGCAATTTACAAAACATAATTAGGTACATTAAAAACCCAGTTTGCAATTTATGTAACACAAATAAACCAAAACCGAGAGTAGTGTTAAAATAACCCCTTTAAGCCTCCGTTTGTTTAACTATAGACAAAAAGAGGTTTAACGAACTACCTACCTGAGAAATGTTTAAACATTGGACTTCAAGATAACATAAGATAAAATAAAAAACTTATACGTAGAGCAGATAGGCCTAAATAACTATTAACGAAAACAGCAAAAAATAAACAAAACTTGTCCAATCTATTTTTCTGTAGATCGAGTTCATTGTTGGCCAGTAACTTTTTCTACGTAAAAGTGTTAAGCCAGCCATTCAACAGATGTCATTCGCGATATTCAGTTCCGATTTTAAATGTTCAAACGCTACAAAAGCACCAAGTTCATTGACAGAGATCACCTGCCTTACACAAAGCTCGTCTTTAGCCGTCCAAGCAGCGGTCAAAACCCGGCAGGGGATTTATTTTTGAAATGTCCACAATACACGGGTGGCACATGTTAGCAGGCTTTAAATCAACCGTGAATTCCTTTTAGAAACGGTGGACTTTTCTAAATAAACGCAACTGAAAACGCCCGATGGACCAGAATGTAAATATAAAGGTGAACATTTACTGTTAATGGATCGGGGACGTTTACATGTTTAGTCGATTGAGGATACTTGTCTTTAAAAATTGTTGTTTTGTATGTTTTTGTCCAAACGAAAATTTAAATGGTGAATATATAAATGATCATGGAACAATACATCAGTTTCTAGTTTCAAACAGTGCTAATCTATTTCTAAAGTTAGAATATCTAAGAGGTTGAACTGAAATATAACTTGCCAATCAAAATAGAACTCAACAATTGACATCTAAAATTAATTGTTGTACTCATTCATGACAAATGTTTTATTTTTTAAGCGTTAACACCAGTGGAATTTTCATGGATAAAACATTGAAACATACTCGATAAACTTGTAGGTAAAAGCTGTCCAAACCAACCTGTTTAGTGCAATAACCAAAACCTCAAACAAATCCATAAAATCTAACTAACGTTTCTAAACATGATTTAGTTACATTACTCCAAAAACATTATCATTTTAATTCATAACAGATTTACTAACGATCTCTTTAAAATGACTAAGTAGAATGAATGGGTCAAAAATATTCCAATTACAAGCCTAATGTTCATCCTGTTTGGTTTTTGTTGTCATTTGATACAGATGTCTGCTGGAGAGATCTAGCAAGCGTTCGAAAAAGTCAACACATTTATAATTGTAATCACCCCACATGCTGGGGAAAAAGATGGTACTTTTCCCATTATCATTACGGATATTGTAGATGTCTTCACATGTTGGGCCACTCCGTGTGAGGTTTGATGGATGTCAATGGTAAGTAAATGAACGGGAAAACCATCGATGTTACAAAAACTATACAATGCGTAGTCGATTTAATATTTCATCTCGCTGAAAACGACTTGCTCGTTTTCAAGCCAAACAATATATTATTTCTTCGGGAAATGTTTGAAATTGGCAGTATGCCTAATCATTCAAATTTAATTTATGTTAGGAATAAAGTCGTTACGCGGAATGATATTTGTTAATCATCAAATGTAATCATATAATCCTATTAATCTTAATATTTCATTAATATATCTTGATTTATATTAATAGTACCTGGGGACCGAGCTTTGCTCAGGTAAAATCATTAGTTTAATATGAAAGCAGTCTGCGTTTAGTAATAATAGTTAAGTGTTTTCAAAGTTTCTAAGAAATAAATGTAGGCTAGATCACGTTGAAATTTAAAACCTTATGAAATGTGTTGTAACCTCACCTAACCCAACAATCGAAGTTCGTCGGTTCGACCTTTATAAAATTCGGTAGCTTCTCGATGGTTCGAATCTGTCCCAGATGTTATTGATTATCCGGCTTCCAATAAATAGCCCTGCCTAAAAGCTAGCTGGTCTTATTCAGAAACAAAGTTACTACGATCATCGACTTAAAGTGGGTTGTTGGATTAGTGAAGTAATTAAAAATTATGGCCTTCAAACATTTTCCGCTCAGATCAAATCTGCATACACGGCGAAATCTCACTCAAATATCTCTCTTTTTCTCCAAGTGCTGCCCTTTGTTTTTCAAAATTCAACCACCAATGCTGCACCAAACCACCATAAGGCGCCGACCGCCCCGTGGTTCAGTCATGAAGGAAGAGGTCAAGTTCCAAAAAGGCTTTGCGCCGCACGAACAGGTTTTGGACGCTGGGAACCGAAAACAACGCGGGACCCAGAGTGGCTCCTTGCGGCACGCCTATAGTAGCCGGCCCACACTCGGCTGTGACAGGCTAATTTGCATTGGCTTTTTGTAGGTGTCGACTCCTTTAAGAGTTGACTTTGTGATGGTTTCAAATTCGTTTTCCTTAATAATACTATTTTGTTGATAATTTTCTTAAAAGAAATTGATAATGTTGTATTGGTCCGTCGTATTAATTGAGTAAAATCCTATGGATGATATCAAATGTTTTTATTGGAATAAAAAGTTCGTTTTTATTTTGGGACAGATTTATCACGAATACTTGGTTTTATTCTAGTATTCGTGAGATTTTATCATAACCTGTAAACACGAACAAGTGTGGAAAACTAGTAGGCTATGTTTGACTTCAAACCAAACAGTTTGAGAACTTGTAAGGTTCATAAAATGTATACAATATTTACACCAAATAAATTGCGTGGTTCTATTTGTAAAATAAACGTAGTTCATGAATTTACTCTCCTCAGTCACATAAAAAAGATCCAGGGACGAATTTAATATTTCTTAACTCTTTTAACTCATCATGAGAAAGGTAAAATTGTGGTACAAACCCAAAATAATTCGGACTTAAAACTTGTTTAGAATGTCGTCTCATTTTTAAAGCAGAGGTAAGCAATAACCTCTAGTCTGTAAGATAACGATTCCTCCTCATTTTAGCCTAAATAATAACATCTAAATTGACTAAAGTTTTTATCCCACGCTTAGGTTAACCCTCTCTGTCGTTATTCGTGGCCCGGGGGAGCCATAAGTCAGTTTCGAACTCCGAATTAATAACCAGCAGACAGTCGATTAGCATTTCATCTACCGCTCTGACCATTAGCCCGGCTGTGTGAACGCTACGTAGATACAGTGTGTAGTTTGAGGTTATCGATGTGTTTAGTAGCGTGCTCTGTCGGCAAACTAAATACTACGCATGCGCATAACACTGTCGTTTCGTCGGCGTAGTAAAATAGTCCGCGCAAAGAATTGGTCTTGTCTTGTTATCTGAGTTGTTAATACATGAATGGAGGTTGTTCGTTATATTACTGTTAAAACTAATTAATTGTTATGTCATTTGCTTAAAACGTTGTCATTTTGCACGAATTAATGATATAACATTAACAACCAAATGTTTACCTTTATATAACTC